AAAAAAAAAAAAAAAAAAAAAGTCTCTGAAGGCTTCTGCACATCAGCATCAGTGTGGGAAGGAGGCTAGGAGCAGGGGCGTGTAGATATCCCTGCAGTGTGGGGTACTGGTCCTGCACCCACCTTTGGGAAATCCTGGATCCAGCCCTGGTTATAGTTGCTGGTTGTGGAACCCCTAGCTAGTGACTCCAGCCTGGATCCCTGCCTCCCGGTCTCATGCCCCGTTAGCATCTGGTTCTATCCAGGATGACTGTCTATGTCCTGGTCCCTTGCAGATCTCAGCACCCTGACCCCTCTGCTTCTGATTCCCACAATTACATGGGCCCTTTGCTTTCCTCATCTTATCTGTTCCTGGTCCTCTGGGTTGCTACCCTTTAGCGTCAAGCCCTGACTGCTTATGTCCTGGTCACAGCCTTGACAGCCATCAATTCTTACAACTTCATAAGAAGTCCCAGGATACTTGGTGTTCCAGCTCCTGGAGACATGGTTATCAGCAATTTTCAGGTTTATTTAAACATTAATTTACCAAATTAATAATTGGGTTAAGTTTCTAGCCCAAATTAGTAAAATTTCTAGACTAGTAGAAAACAGGACACCATAAGAGAAGATAAAACAAGAACAAAGCACTCACGGGTAAGTCTCACTGGGAAGTTTGGGTTTTTTTGTTATGTTTAACTTCATGAACAGACTCAATCTCCCTCATCTCTAAAAATGTTTATCCCAATTTCTATCACTCTGAAACTTGGATAGCCAATTGCACCAGAACAAAGCATGTATGAAACAACACCCTTCCTATCTGGGTATGTCTACGCTGCAAGCATACCATGCCAGGTTTGAGCTTCAGCACCCAACGGTAGTGGCAGAAGACTCTACGAAAGACTTCTAGATTGGCTTATCTTTTTTCTTTGTTATTTGCCTTCATCTAAACTTCACCTTTTCACTAGAGAAAAAAAATGTATATTTTGCTTTTTGCACATAGTAAAACAAACAGATGGTCTCAGTCTATGAGACAGGTGTCCACATCACATAATTGTCACCATATTTGACACCCTTGTTGGAAGTCTTAGCCATACTAGCCAAGATCCTCTCACACAGAAGAAAAAAAAATACTGTTCAAATTTGCACGCATTTACATGTATTTGCATAAATTCAAGCAGCAGAAGCGTATGCCATTCCATTTTAAAGTTAGGTTGTAACAAATTCCTATGTGGACAAATGCATTTTATGGTACATTTTATGGCACATGGAGTCCTATATTCCTGCCATCCCATAAATAAATCAATAATAAATATCTTTCCATGCCATATTTTAATTCTTATTCTTGTTCTCTTTCATGGTGACAAGCTTGAAAAAGATACAACAGAGGGAAGAGTTTCTAATAGTTTTGCCCTGAGAGCCAAAAAAAAGTCAGGCAAAGGGAAACACGGAAAAGCAGGCAAATAAAACATTATCAATTGGGCTTCTAAAGAGTACTGCAAGTAACAAAGAGCATCCAAAAACAAGAAATTCTAGTCTTTTTTCCTGCAAAAGAGTCCTGTCTTCTGACATCAGGGAATCCTAAGAAAGCCTCTTAGAAAATTTTAGTAGAATGTAATGTGAAGCATGGCTTTTTCTGAGAGAGAGAAATAGCTGATCTGAATTGATTGCAAGAATGTCTGGGGACTCTGGATATGGATAGTCTAAATTAGGAGAGAAGTCAGGGCAACAGATGACTAGGAAGCATTCTGGTGCCAGGCTATTTCTTAAAGAGACAAATTGCTCTCTGATTTCATATGAAGTCATGCTATGCTGAGCCTTCAGGCCCACATCAGAATAAGTAGCAGATTGTAGAAGGATCCCTGGAGACCAAAAGACAAAGACAAAAAGGAGTGTTCACTTAGTAGAGCCTGCTCAGTAGCGAATCTACCCTATTCCAAAGGGACTGCCTCTACTAATCAGAAGGTATTCAGTCTCTATTGAGATTGCCAATGGTGGCGGTAGCTGGGATGCATGTTAGCAGAAGGTCACCACCCCAATGCCTTGTCTGTAGTACAAGCATTCAGATAGGTAATTACAGGTGACCGGGCCAAGTAAGACAGTGACCAAACCATAGATTCATAGATCGTTAGGGGCTGGAAGGGACCTCGCATATCATCGGGTCCACCCCCCCAGCTCTGGGCAGGAAGACAACTGGGGTCAAGTGACCCCAGCGAGGTGACTGTTCAGTCTCCTCTTGAAAAAAAAATGTATGTTAAAAAAAAATGTACAAGGAACTTGCTAAAGGTCTTAAACCTTTGCACTACAAAAGCTAAAGTGGCAGGCTGAGTATCTGTTGGGCAAGCAAATACTTGTAGGACAAGCAAGTGATTTTTAACTTACCTTTGTGCACATTCTCTCTCTCACACACACATACACACAATTTACTTAAATCCAAGATGAGGTCCCCCCCAGCCAAACATGGGCGGGAGCCTTGACTTAAGTAGTGGCGTACACACACACAGATTTACTTAAAGGCTCTGTATGTTTTTTTCTAGTAGCAGTTACAGTTGCTCAGAAATAGCGGGAGGTTGAGAGAAAAGCAATTTTCATGAGAATTTTTTTCAAACACAATTTTAATTGGATATTTTAACCCACTCCCCCATTTTCTGTGTCATCTTTTCCTTGCCTCCTCACCTCAGTGTTTCCCATGCTGTAATGTCAGACAACAAGAGTCATTATCTGAAGGTGAACATGATTAAATAAAGCAGCATCTAACAAGAATCTCAATTAAGACATTGCTCATGTTATGTTACCTACAGCTTTTGCCCCTTCCTATCACAAACATTTTAAATGGCTTGAGCTTTGTCTGACCTGTTGTGACCACCTAGCTATAGTTTCAAGTAATGTGGACTGACTAAACTTACTTAAGGAACACTTTTTTCTACTGAACTGTCAGGGCCTAGGGTTCTTTGGTTTGAAAAAATACTGTAATATTCACATACCAATTCATCATTTTTCATCCCACTTGTAGCATATTAACAAAACTGTTTCTCTCCCCCTTAAAATCCATTATTATCCCATTATTCTTCTTTGTGCAAAGATCTCCAAAACAGGTTTATGGTCATGGCAAAAGCAATATGTAGGAGAAAGACAATCTTTTTTTTGTACTTTTAAAAACTGTCCAAACAAGGCACGACATTCAGCTGTATAAAGTCTGTAACAGCTTCCTTGCTGTTTGCAAACCCACCAAAAATTTACGTAACTGCAACTAATCTTCAATAATCTTGAGCAAGACATTTAAGAAAGGGAATAAGCCTATTTCCTGCTCTCCCCCAAGCTTATAAAGAGACAAAAAAAAGAAGAAAAAGAAGCAAAGTCCACCCAGTGTTGCAATAGTCACTTAATGTGAATAAAGTGCACTAACTTTCCTCTGATTGCAACTCTACTTCATTCCTATGCATGGCTACTGAACAGCAAAAGAGAAACTGTTTTTAGGGTCTGAATCTCACTTGTTCTCAGCTGAACCATGAAAACATCTACTCTTGCTGTGTACCACTGCTTTGCTTTGCTTTGGTATATGTTTTTAAGCTACTCAATCTTGCTCATAAGAGCAGAAGACCAGCCATCTGAAGTGTTCCTTTATGGTGCGCAATGGAAATATTTGACAGTCCTCAATCTGGTAAGCACGTAGTGTACGGTGGTACCAATATGTCTATTTGTCTGTCTGCCATCTGTGCCTAAAGACATATACAGCTGGTGTATTTGCTGCTGTTATACTGCTTTCTTTAATGGTTTATATCCCAAAGGAACCTAATAGGTATCCATGTTCATGCTATAAGATTATTTGCAAGCTTATGCATAAAGATTATGCGATAAATTGCAACATTTCTAAGCTTTATGTACTGTTGGAATTGCCTCATCATTGAGACCAAGAGAGAAGTTAGTTGTAAGAAAGATAAAACAGAATGTATATATTAAGGACGTAGAATTTTGGTGCATGTTATCCAGGGGGATGGGATAATTACCAATTAGGCCCAAAAAATCCCCAAATATGCCCAATTTCAGCACCATACGTGAATAGAATTATCAAAAAGGGGAGCGGTAGTAAAAGTCCACCTGCTCTAGTCTTGAAGCTCATCCAACTACTGAGGTGACAGTCCTGCGTTTTCTCTAGCCAACTGCACATAGAAGAGCAATATGTTTGGCATCATGTCTGGTTGCCTTTGACTCCCCAGCCCAAATGAGCAGGTACCCATTTACAACTAGGTCGGATTGTATCTACTACAAAATAAAGAAACATTATGCAAAATCCAGTGAGAAAACTAGGTTTCAGAGCATGTACTTAATTAAAATATAGTTTAGGAATTTAAAAAAAAAATCTAGGGATATGCGCCATATCATTGCATGTTTTTTAAGTTCTACCAGTTGTTTTCTAGGTTTCCTAGAATTCCACTGTGAAATACTGACAATAATATACTTCAGTATTGCACAGTAATACTAACATTGCACACCTTACTACTCAAAATGAAACATAGAAGCCTTGCTATTTAGAGAACAATGTTAGTTCTCAGTACGAGGAGTTAGGCTGTGAGAGGGTAGTGGGTGTGGGAGGTCTCCAGGAGAAGATGAGGAGACTTATGAAGGGGATTCAAATGGAAGTATTGGTTTGGTAGCACAGTCACTGCCAGCATGCTGGCTCGCTTTAAGGAAAGCAGGAAATGCATCCTCAGTCCTTTCATCTTATCAGTGTTGCAGTAAATGGCGTACAGAATTTGCATAGCAGTGGTCCTGGTCCTGTCTATGCTTTGCCTTTCTTTAAGCAGTTGGGCCACTGTACAATACTGCATAATGGAGTTCTGTGGCACATTGTGAAAACAGTCCTTAAACTGCAAGCCCTTCAGGGCAAGGATTGCCTCTTCTATGCCTGTACAACATTGAATTCAATGGGCCCTGGCCCTAACTGGAGTCTTTGGGGACTACCATAATAGATATAAGTACTGCTACCAGTACCTTGAAGAAAATTAAATTTGGACCCACCTCATCCTCTTGTAAAATTCTATCCAAGTTCCATCAGAGTCACACAGTCGTGCCATGGGATGACCCTCCCATACTTGCAGAGCATGGGGCAGAATTTGGGAGGGCTCGGGGATATGCATTGTACACATTTGGCTCTTTTTATGTATTTTATTCAAAAATAGTTAATGAAAGCAGAGCTTGGACACAACTGACAACACCATAATTGCCAAGGATCAAATTCTGTACCATTTTAAAACAAAAAAGGCTTAAGAGAGAGTGGGAATTATAGTCCCTGAAGGTCAAAAAATAAAGTTCAAAGATTGCCCAAGCCCAAGCTCAATCAAAGAATTTTTCATTGGAAAACACTAATTTAATGGAAACACATTGCAGGAGAACGTATGGATTCCTTTGGAATGTTCTGCAGAAACCAGGCTAATTATCTAGCCAGCTTGCCTACCTCGCTGTTTTCCAGCAGCTATCTGGCTCATTGACTGTTCAGCTGACTGGCCTAGAATTATTTAAAATTCCCTTTTTGTGTTTCTCAAAGATATCAGTTTTTTGAAAATCCAGTCTATGGGAAATTTCATATTTTCAATGTCCTTTGCCAATTCAGAATTAAGGATATTAAGACGTGAATTTTTCACATGACAGAAATTCCAGTTCACTTGCAGCTCTATCCTGAAGTATGCATTTGCTCTCCTTTTAGCAAGTACTCCACTTTTATTCTTCCTGTGTGATCTGCACAAGAAGGAATCTCCTACTCTCATGTTAGTTCTCATCCATCTAGTTCTTGTTATTTGCAGCCAGAACCTCCCCAAGGAGGTAGAGTTGAATGGGAGAAAAAAGCCACAAGCATGCTTAGGATCACAGGTTTTCATTCATCAATTACTGAATGCATAGATCAAATAGATCAAGCATATTTTGTATACAAATCTGTAAATTCTGCTAAATACCTGGTCACAAGGACACAAAAAAGGAAGGAATGGATTTCTGTGCAGTATAAAAATATACAGAGGCCCAAATCAGTTAATAAAAAGTAGGGCTGAATGGACCTCCCCAGGTCATCTACTTCAACACCCTGCTCAAGGCAGGACCAGCCCTAAGTAAACCACCTCAGCCAAGGCTCCATCTAACCTGTTTTTGAAAGTTTCCAAGAAGAGAGATTCTATTTATTGCACATAATATTAGGTAAAAGTTGGTTTCCATATAAAGATAGGTTATTCCATTAAGAACATCACTAAACATCTGAAAATACATTTGTATCCCTCCCAGTTGTTTAGTACACTTTAATATTTCATTATTGAAATTACTTTGACCATCCTAAATATTCCAAATTCTATTTGTCTAAAATCAATTCAATACATATTGCACATTTTTCAAAATGTTGTGGCTTGAATATATACAAATGTACTAAAATTTTGATCATCCCACCTAACGGTCTGAGACATTCAATTTATACCACCTTAAAGAAAAAGCTGTCTTTTTTATGATTCTCAATCGGGGAAGTAAGTATATTCGGTTGGCCAAATGCTGCCTTTGAAAATGAACTATAGGCAGAAATAAATGGAAATATGTCCAGTCAAAAGATGCAAATTGTCTTTGCCACTGATGCTTTATTTTTCATCTGATCTATCTGGCCAGACAAGTTAAAAAATACAAAACAGGTCTTCCCTGCTAGTTAATAAGAATTTCTAAAACACTTATTATAGCACTAAATATAGCTATAGAAAGCAGTAGGGTATGTCTAGAAGACTTAGTCAATGGTTCCTCCTTCTCTCAGGGCTAATCATTAGTTTTCAGAATATGTCCAGTCTTAATTCCATTCTTGAAAGAATACTTTGTGGGATCCTTTAGATCTACAATTAGTGGATTTATATTCTATGAGCAGTTGTGGTATATTCAATGAGCAGCTGTAATACATTTGCAAGTACCAGCACAGTGCTGCTCAGGGAAGTCATAGAGACATTTGAAATTATATAGCATTTTCTATTATATATACATTTACCTTTAGTAGGGATGAGTGACAGCTGCAACGTTGGGTGTGTTGACCAATTTATGAATGTCCCACAGTTTCTGAAGGCTCACATCTGGAATTGCAAGTCAAGGTACATGTGTGATTGCTTTAGAAGCAGCAGGGAGGACTCAGTAATTAGCCTAGGTGCATTCCATTTTCCAGTTTACAGTAGGGTTTACCCCATTTTACCCCGAACAAACATGGGGAGATTGTACCCAATAGAAACTCCTTTTGCCAGGTGTTTGGATAGCCATGCCCCAGAGCTGCAGTCCCCAGGGTATCTGTGGTAGCAGGATGCCACTCCTGTACTCTACCCAAGGGGTGAAATTCAACCCAGTATACCAATAAAGTTCTGCTTAACCCTTCAAAATAAGGTTCAACTGATTTAAGCAAGGGTGGACCTTGTGAGGGCCTTTAATGCACAAGCAAGAACCATCCAAGATGAGCAACACTACCAGAATTCTCAATGTGGTAGCTGTTGGCTTTCTAAAACCTACAATGGCTCTACCAACTTGTAAACAGAGTATGCACATTTATTCCTAGCATAACTCTATTTCTCTTAAGCCACTTCCAATACAAAATGTTATTTCAATGATGTCATTAAGGACCGTAACTGGTTATTTCTTCATTTCTGACTTAAAAGAAAAAATAAATGTGTAGCTACAGCAGGCAGACCAAATTCAATTTTAAAGAACACGAATACAAAGACAATTAATTCAATAGAGGTACTTTGGCTTCACACCAAGTACTAAATTAAATATAAGGGTCAAGAGCCAAGGGCAAAGTTTTGTATGTCTCAAATATGGGATCCTTAGATGAAGTTCATGGAAGGGTGGGGGGGACAGGAGACAACTAGACAGACATATGGATATGCTTATGTACACACACACATACTCTTTCCATATGGAAGATATTATTGTTATCTCCTGTGAATGACAGGGAAAATTACTAGACTGAGAATTTGGATGTTTTGGGACCATCTGCTTCTTTTCCATCCAAATGTTTGTTTTAATTGATTTTGAAAAAGGTGGGGGGGGCACACAAAGTATATCCCTGTCTCATGATTAATGCAGAGCTCATCATTGAAGAGATAATAATAGTCTCATCCTCTGGGAACCATGCCCCTCTCACATGGGGAACGCCTATAAGATGCTTTATTAGTGATTAGTCATCATGCATCACCAGTCTTCCACCAGCCTCATCCAACCATTTCACATTCTTTTTAAAGTAAAGAGAAAATACTTGATTGCTTGCTGTAGCTGACTGTGTAGACTGTAACTACCACAGGCTAAAAGGGCAAAAGCTCTTGTTCAATGCTCACTCTTTTTTCTAGCCTTGACAAATGATCCCAAACCAGCAAGCAAATTCTTAACTGAGCATGGGGAACAAGCAGAAGGAACAAGCAGGAGGAACTCACACTCCTGCTTGCAAACAAAGACTTCAACCTGGATGGAATAATTGAAACCTGGTGGGACCCTACCCACGATTGGGCAGTAGACACTGAGGGCTATAGGCTGTACAGATGAGAGAGAGTGGGGAAATGGGGGGGTGTTGCCCTCTATGTTAAGAAGCAATACACGTCTTCCATAGTCAAGATGGGATCAGAAGAGGGGCAAATTGAGGTACTGTG